ACGTTGTCCAGAAGTCCACTGTGGAAAATTGTGTTCTGGATATGCTCTCCTGACAAGCCACCACACAGACCAAGCCCATTGTGGCCTCCTATAAACTCCCAGCAAGTACAGGCTGGAGGTTGTATGTGTACTGCAGGGGGCGGGGATAAGAATCTTCCTGTGCTCCCCAGGCAGTCATGGACGCTGTGGCTCTCTCCACTGCTAAATCCAGTGTCTGGTCACCTGGGGGAGCTGGCTATACCCTCGCTGTGAATTAGGCTCTCACTTTCCCAGGCTGGAGGGGAGGCTGGGGACGTTTGGGGTAGGACCAGTAGCCTTTTCAGTGAGCTGGCACTGTTCTGACTTGCTCTCTCTGAGTCTTCCCTTTCTGAGGGCTTTTGACTCTACTTGCTGGACATTGATGCTCACTTCCCCAATTCCCTTCTAGATGAGGCTTTTAAAATGCCTGCTGTAAGAAATTAGCTCAAATGTAAGTTGTTAGCAAATCCTCAGTAAGTTTTTTAAAGAGTTGAATTAATTTTTAAAAACAAATAAATCTTGCTTTTGTAACATTGTGTAGGGGGTGTGTGTCCTGTAAAAAGCTAAATGTGATGTTTTTTAATCATTCCTTTTGCAAACACTGTGACTATCTCCCCCCCCCCATTTTTTTAATAGAAGACCTTTAATGACAGCAATGGCGTTTATGCTGATTTTAGATGACTTGTTTTAAACCATTTAGAGCATTTGTATTTAAGACTTTATAGACAATTGAAGCAGCCAATTAAAAGTACTTTGACAACAAGCCATCATAGATAGGATCAAAGACAGTAGCTATTATGCTCCCAAAAAAGTGAAATTTATGAACTATGTTAATTCACTGCATGTTTTCCCATTATAGTAAAATCTAAGTATTAGTGTTAATTGATTCTGTGAGAACATTGAGAAATCAAGAGATTTCAGTTGATAGGTAAATTAATCAAAATATTGAGATTTAAATATGATTAAGCCCAACATTAGAAATGAGTGGGCATATTGCTTGTACTATTACATAAAGCAGAATTACTGAATGACTTTGAATTTCAGAACTGATTATTGGCCTCAGTGGTTTCAAATTTATTTTAAAGACAGATTTAGATTGGGATGATTTTATTTGTCTTTTTTTTTTTCTTACCAATAGCAATATAAGAGTGTTACCTTATTTTATTATTTCTACTCCATAATTGTGTCTTAGTAGGGAAAAAGGAGTCATTAATTTTAAGGTCAACAGGGCCTCCTAGAAACCTGACTGGGAGAAACATCAAGGTTCGTGCCTTTTCTGGGGGGGCAGTGCCCATGATGCAGGGCTCAGCCTCCCGGGGCAGCTCCAGCAGAATAAGGACTGAGGAATCATATACCTTCTCACTGTGAGTCCCCTTCCTCTGCCATCTGTTCTTGTCTACATGGTGGTTATATTAAGGTCCTTAACCACCCCACTTTCACTGTTGCAGTAGGGAAACCATAGCATTTAATGTAGAGTCTCATGACAAGGATACTCAGAAAGATCAGGTAAGTTAAAGGTACATGGGATAAATCAGGGAAAACCAGGTACAAGTTTCCAAAGGAGTCACACAGAACACACCAGGTTTCTTCAGTCATGAGTTGTGATAAGCTGCCAGCCAGAGAGACTTCTTAGAGGCTTGGTGACCATAATTTTGTGTGTGTGTGTGTGTGTGTGTGTGTGTGTGTGTGTGTGTGTGGACTGGTCATATAGGAAATCTCTGCCTCGTACATACCAACACTCTAGATTCCCGGGAGGAAAGCAAAGTTCAGCGTAAGCCATATTCTTTGTATAGTTTAGACTCAGTGAGCTACCCTTACAGAGAAGAGTGGTACAACCCCTCCCCAAATTCACATTCCCAGACACCAGCCAATGAGGCCTTTCTTGCAAGCTGGCCTTATAAAAGATGGTACTCAAACTCTGTGCAGAAGTTGAACCCACCCAAGCCTACCCCTACTCCACCCCACCTGTTGCATCAGGCAACACCACATTGATAAAGAAATGGAAATCATGGAGCAGGTCACATAAAGCAGGATGCTGCTCAAGAGCAGCCTTTTGATTGATAAATCAGCATACAGCATTAGTCATATGGGGAAGCAGGAAAGGAGAAGGGGGAAGGAGAAGAAACAGGAAAGCTGATAGCTTGGTATGTAGATGGAGCCCTGACTCTAGTCTAGATTTCAACTTATCAATAAGGCATTCCACTGATCAGCTTCTGGGGTCCTTTGTTATACATCATCCCAGGCCTCCGGTGTGGTGTATAAGTCAGGAGTAAGTTTATGCATCCGTTATCAGCCCCTTGGGTGTTCTGGGTCATATCTCTTGATGCATACCCTTCCTAGGTTGATCCAGCTTTATGCTTTAATTGATGTGAAAGGCACCTTGTAGGGTTGGGATTCTGTGGCCCGGCAGTTCTAACCTTGCTTTAGGAATACAGAACTGTAGTAACATAATGGAGGCTGGATAGGCCGTTTAAGATTAGCAGGTCCACCCCCACCCCCATACTACCCTACTCCATATCTGAAGGTAAGGTTCTACTGGTGATGAGCTAGCACTTCCAATTCCCAGGATAGAGAATTCGCTCAGCTACGTTAGGAATGGGAATCCACCTCGTGTATTAGGATGGGGAATCTTTCCTGTTTGCATAGAGAGAGGCATTTGGTTTGAGAACTCCGGATACACTTCAAAAGTGGATACCTACAGCATCTCAGATACTCTGCAGACTTGATCTTACAAGTGCCCTCTTAGGGTTGACATTAAAAAATAATACAGGAAGGTGGCCCTCCCTGGTGGCGCAGCCGGTTAAAGCACAGCACTGAGAATCTGAAGCCACTTCCGCATGAGTTCAATTCCCGCCTGCCCCGGAGGAGGCCACATGGCGTGGCAGACCTCTCCTGACCCGCCCAATGCTTCCCTCAGCAGTGTACTTCGTGGATCTGCCTGTTCTGCTCCCCACTCTGTCTCTGGTGAAGCCTCTCACCGCCCCTGAGCCTCTGGCCTGTACCCCAGTTCTGTATGCACAAATAAATAAATAAATCTTTAAAAAAAATAATACAGGAAGGTGATAGCTACTTCAAGCATCACAAATGAAATTTCAGGTTAGGTCAGCAGGCTCCATGGAACAGAGAAATTAGGTAGTGTGTAGATGGTCATTTGTATAAAACCAGTGAGTGCCTAAGCTATTCAAAAATACATTCAGATACCTTACCTTAGGTGAATAGTCTAAATAAACTTTAAAAAAATTTTGATTGGAACTTGTCGAGTTCACAAAAATTGTCTGATTGTACTCTGATATTTATCCTGTAGGGGTTATAAGAAGAGCATGTACTTTTATGATATCATCCCTCATTACTTCTGTGCTTTTTTTTTTTTTACTTTTTTTTTTTTTAACTAAAATTATAACCAAGCTGCTGAAGATTCTGTGTCTCAACCATCTCAATTACTCCTGCCAGGCTAGAGTAATTCTTACTCTTCAGTAAGCTCCAGTATTTCTTGCAGTGTGGACATCTTTTTATTTGCTGGAGGCAGGGCATGGTGTCATCACTGGGAGATATAAAAAAAAATACCTCTGCGCACACCTATTGTTGGGGTGTCCTAGAAAGGGCTATCACCTTTGGAATTTCCTGGGAACCCTGTCAGGTTGACAGCTTGTGTAGAAAGTAGCTTTTGGCCAGTGAGAAGTTACCATAGAAATGTCATCATCCCCTCCTGTGGTAGAGCAACCCTGGCTATGGGCACAGTCATTGAGTACTGGATTAATGGAAGGAAGACACAGTGTGTACACACATGCATGTGTAAATCCAGTGGGTCCTCATTTTCTTTGTGCTGTGGGTTCACATGTGGCTGTATACATAATCAAGTAGTGTCCACATTGTGCAGTTGAGTGTTAGCGCTGGCCTCCTGCTAGGCTAGGGTGCCTCTGCTCCCTGTGTGCAGCCACCAGTGGCCTGTAGGGTGGCCCATCTTATGGCTGGCCGGAGGCATGTTTTTCCCAGCAGTATTCTTAGGCTGCTGTTTGCTTTTGCTTTTTGAAATAGAAAAAGGAGACAATGTTCATTCCAGAGAAAGGATTTCTAAGGAAAAGTGATTGTTCCCTTGTGAATTGAAAGTCAGAATGTAAACACAGGAAAACAATTCCCATATCCCTTGATCATCTCAGTTGATGGGTTTTTGAAAACTAGTGAATCTGCACTTGGGGCATAGTCTCCTAGGAGAAAAAAACGTCCTCAGTTGATAGACTACGTTTATACGCTGGTATTTTAGGACATGCTGAGATAACATTCTGATACCCAGGAAACTCAGCTGTCATCTCCTTGAAGGAAGCCTATTCTTTACATCCTGAACAGTGACCTACTCAATAAATGTGTTGATTGATTAATATGTGCCTCAAAAATAAATCTTCAAGAAAGAAAACACAATACCCAGTAACATGAGGTCACTAAAAGCCCCTTTCTGCTTTGTGCATCCGAGGCTGAGGGCCACAGTTTCAAGAGACAGTGAGTTCTGGGAGGTAGGAGGCTGAGCCGTGTGGAGCAGTTGTGCCAAACAGATAGCAGTGTGAGCACAGGATTTTAGACAAGGAGGTAGATTTCATCAGCTTCACTGAGGGGAGAGGGTGCGGTAAGATGTTTTAGGAGGTCCTTAGACAAAAGCAGTGTTATTCATGAGCATGAACAGTAATGCTTCCATGATTAATGCTCTATGTTGTCTGTCCTTTATCTTAATGCTGTGATCCATCTTGTTTCTGTTATTTATTTTATATAAACATGGGCCTTTATGAGTCTGATTGGATTAGAAATAGTCCTTTATTATTCGCTTAACACTTTAAATCAGTGCATGCTTACAAGTTCTATGAGATCATTGAGCAATTGGGTACGTGGTTGGTGGAAGGATGGAGCCACAATACAGAGGCCCAGAACTCAGCAGTCTGCAAGGGTTGGCGTGCAGGCGTGTAACATTACTGTTGCTTCTTTTGTTTTCACAGTGAGAGAAAAACGCAAGAGTCTCTTCATTAACCATGTAAGTGAAGCTGTCTCCCTGACTTTTTTCATAATGATTGTACCATGTAAACATGTCTGTGATGGGGATAAGATGGTTCGTGTACTTTGTTGATGCCTGGGAGAATGTAAAGAGTGTGCTGGTGTTGCTTTCACTCAGTTTGGTTTGTAATTGGGCAGTCCTGACTTTGTGCTGCTGTCCCACATGAGTTCCTAGAAGCACCAGACTCTACCTGTGCATGACAGCATGTGTGTGAACAGCATCACAGCAACATCACACAGGCCCAAACAGAAGCCAGCCTTTAAAAAATTTCTGATCCCTTCCTTCCTCTGCCCCACCCCACATTGCCCATTCGCTCTCTGTAATGCAGCTCCTTGGAATGAACACGGAATTAGGTTTCACAGCCTCTTTCTGTCTTCTTCCTAGAGGACAGGTCCTCTGGAGTCTCCATGTGCTTTTGGTGTTCAAAGAAAGGATAATTGACAACTCTATTTAAAAAATTCAGCTCCACTTTTTATGCCATCTGAACAGTATCTCCTTTCAGATACAGAGTGGCCCATTGAGGTACTTTGGCCTTTTTCCTCGAGTAGCAGGTGGGACCGGCTTCTTCCATCACCCCACCCTCTGCAGCACCCCTTTGGAGGGTGGAGTCCTAAAACCAGGTTATATAGCCCTCCCATTCCCTCTAAACATAGGCCCCTTTCTTTAGGTGAGAAAGCTGTCTCCATGAGGTATGAAATGATGAAGTAGAAGACCAAAATAAACATGCTAGAAATTCTCACGCTGAAAACAAGGTCGACATATTTGACTTGATAAGGATTTTTCTCAGGATTTCTAGATTATTACCTGCATTTAAGTTTTTGGAGCTCTGGGCATTGACACTGTGTGTTAAAGGGGCTTTAAACCATAATATTCTCTTCCCTGCCTGTTGAAAATTTGGACACAATGCTGCTGAAAAGAAATTCATAAGCTGCATTTATATCCTTGAGGGCTCCTTGCTGGAACTTTAGAGATTGGTGATTCTTTCATAGGCAACATTAGTGTATGTGTGTATATGACGCTCTAAGGTCAGAGAGGTCTGTAGTTTTTATCAGATTCTACAAGCAATGCAAGGCCTCTTCCTTTGCCCTCTTAAATGTCAAAGAATCAATATATAGCATTCATGAAATTACAATACATGCCATTCAATACAATACATATCATGAAAATTCCCTTGCCTTTTACCTTACTTGAAAGCGGTATATACCTAAACATAGAGACTTGAGTAATTCGATCTAATTCTGTAAAATTTTACTTTCATTTCCTTGCCTGCTGGATGTACTTGAACACTTTTCCTCTCACTATTGCACCTGGCAAGGAGTTTGCAAGGGGAAGAGCAGAAACCGCAGCCCAGCCGTCCGCACTGGTCACTGCATCTCAGAGGTGTACTGAAAAAGGAGAAGGAGTTTGTTTCGGAACTTGTTTTGATTGTGGCTAACCTCACACTTATGAACAGTCCTGACAGCTGCCACACTAGATAATTATCTGGTGGATAAAAATTAGATACAATTAGATGGATTGTGGTGCTAGGCTCTGCATTCTAGCTCAATGTATCCTCTTCCTCCTCCACCACCACCCCCTCCCATTCTTCAACCCTCAGTAAAACCTCTCATCTGACAGAGTAAAATCACACAGTTGTTGAAATCTACTCAGATGCATTTCTTTTTATATAAGAGAAATCTCTGTACTAAAGTATCTTACATAACAACAGCATGACCCTCTAGTGAATAAACAGACCTAGTTGCAAACAAGCACATCAGCCTGTCCATGCTGGGAATGTGCCCTTCCAACCAACCAGTGAAATTACCTACTTATTCAGTTGATAAATCATGAACAGGTCGTGCTTTTCAGATTTTGAAACTTGGGTGTTTTGAATAGTAGAAAAGACAAATAAAGATAATAATCACTAGAATCTATTGAGTGTTTTACCACATTTTTGCCTGGCTCAGTTCTAATTGGTTCAGGAATATTATTTCTTCGGTTTGTTCTTAGTGCATATTACTCAAGTAAACTACAAAGAGGCTGTTGCTTCAGAAAAAATCAAAGTTGGATATAGACAAGTCAATTTAGAGAGCCTGGGGGTGATTCAGCTCTGCTCCTGGGGCCCAGTATATAGTTTAGAATAGTGGGCCCTGCATTCTAACACAGTGTAGCCTCTGAACCCCCACCCTTACTCCAAAGCAAATTTCAGCTTCAGGAAAATAGCTTTCACCTGAAGGAGAAAAAAATAAGGCTGTCTGACTTCCAGCTGACAAGTCACATTGGCAACCGAAAGGATTAGACTTAGGAAATAATAGTTTCTAGGAGAAGGATTGGTAGTGAGTGGAACTCAGATTGGAAAAGCAATGGACCTTTAAACTGGCTGAGAATACCCAAGGAAGATTTAAAAGGTTAAGTAAAAGGGGACTGATTCGAGAGGAATTATTAAAGGTTTAAAGCTTGAAACCATTTGAGGATAAACCTCTCTGAGAGTTTAGACAGTAAGTTAAGTCAAGGTGAATTATAAAGATTGATATTCTAATCAGTACCTGTGTTTTAGATATAATTGGAATTAACAGTTACAGGAAATTTTGGTGTATTATGAAGGGCATACCTAAGTATTTTAAAAAGGCTTGTGTAAAGGGTTTTATTTAAATTTGTACTTTTAATTAGAACTTACTGAGGTTTTGTTTTTGTTTAAGGTAGGCTATTTTAATGAATTTTTAAGTTAAAATGTGAAAACATCTGACTGTAAATTGTGGGTGACATTGTAGGTGACTGGAGTTGGAATCACTCTCCTGAAACTTAGGGAAATTCATGCCTTTAGTAAAAGCCAATTTTTTTGTGTGACTTCTCCCACTTGGTGACAACATACCTCAAGTCAGTTGATCTAAAATGTTAAAAACAAATTCTGTTCTAAAACAGAATTAGAATTGAACAATGAACTTCCTTTACCCTCATGCAAAACAGTGGTAGTATTTGTCTCAATATGAGATAGGTGATAGATACAGAAACTGTGAGGAAGCAAAAAGTGTTATTTTATTAGTTAAGCAAAAAATCACAATGATAACAGGTTTTGGAATCAGAAGAATTTTTTTTTTTTTAGGCCCAACATCTATCACCTTCTCATTGGAGGACCTTGAAAAAGTCTTGGTTCTTTTATCTCAGACTCGGGCCTAATTCCTAAACTACCTGCCTCAAATGAAATAATGTAATGGAAGGTGATTTGCAAGCTAATTATAGTATCATATAAATATGTTGATGTTACTGTTACTGCCCACTGAAGTCTAGGTAAATTCCATTTAATTCTCTAAGTTCAGTAATCTAACCTGTAGAGATCCTTAATGATATTATAACTATGGATATAAGTCTTTTATAATTATTAAGAAAAGGATTCCTGGGTGAAATTCATTCTATCAAGCTCCATTTGAGAATATTACCTTAGAGAGTTGTGGTCCTTTTAAATATTTCTTTTCTGAATTTGATTTTTGCTTCCTAGTTCTGAATGGAATAAAAGTAGATTCCTTATAAAACATTGTCTATTTTGGTTACTCTTTTCACCCTAAGGTGTTTTTTTTTTTTTTTTTTTACCTTTGGTCTTTCACTTCTTTTTTCTTAAACAATTTTGCGGATTATATAATTTACGCACCTTAAAATTCACCTTTTTTTTTATATGTAAGCTTATGGATTTTAGTATATTGATGGAGTTGTACAGTAGTCAGTTTAGAACATATTTCCCCAGAAAGAAATCTCAAGCCCATTAGGAGTCACCCCTTTTTATCCCGCCTCCCCTGTCCCCTGGCAGTCACTTTTCTTTACTTTCTCTCTGGGTTTGTCTGTTCTGGACATATCATATAAATGTAATCATACATTTTGTTTATCATGGCATTTTCATCTCTGCCTTAGTATATATACAAGGCTTTCTCCCTTTTTAAGCTCAAAGAATATTCTGTTGTATGGATAATGCCATGTTTTGTTTTTCTGTTTCCAGTTGATGGACATTTTGGGTGGTTTCTGCTTTTTGGCCAAGGAATGAATAATGCTGTGTCAGCATTCCTTTACATATTTTTGTGTAGACATACACCTTCACTTCTCTTGGGCATTTACCTAGGGGTAGAATTACTGGACCATGTGGTCACTCTATACTTAACACTCTAAGGTATTTAAGGAATTTCCAAAGTTGTTGATGTTTGGTTTTTAATATCTTGTTGCAGTACAATAAATTCACTGTCAAGCTCCAATAAGTACACTTTGTTTTTAATTATTAAAATGACCTTCTGGAACCAGAAAGGGTTTAGCCAACATGATTACATTCATGGAGAATTATAAAGGGGTGTGGATTAAAAACTATTTTGTATAGCAACAACCCTTTATTAGGAGTTAAGTTGCCTGAATTTTTCTGGTACTTTTTAATTTTGTGATACTCGGTACTATGTCAGTTTGTCAAGTGCTTCGATTCTAGCACCTATAGAGGTGACTGAGAGTCATTACTTCCTGCCTCACAGGAGTTATGAGTAGCAGGGGACATAGGATTGGTATTGGCTCTTAAACACTTGGATTATATAAATGTTTTGCCTGGTGGAACTTCTAAGACACGTGCTCTGTTATGTGGAAGAAAAACTTTTAACAAAGAGAAAGTAAGTTGAATTTCTTACATTCTACACTTAAGCATCTGCTTTAATAGTAAACCTCTGCCTTATATACCCGAACATCCTAGAATAAGCTTATTTCACACCACACCTGAGTCCCATACCTCTGAACCATAACCTGTATGACCCTTGCATTCAAGAAATGAACTAATATTAGGGGAAATTTTTTTTTAAATGATCCTTTGTTTTGTTTTTCTAGCTGCAGACAACCACAGGATTTCTGTATGGGAGATGCCTTTCAAGGGCATAGGGTCCTGTGTGGTGCTCTGCACCACCTCAAGGCCATCACAGGAACCTCTTCCACTTGGCTGATGGATTGTGTTTCTGGATTTTGCCCTAGGGCCAGAACTATAA